GCACGGCTCACAGGATCGCGCTGTCTCCTGGCGCGGCCGCTCAGACCCGACGCCATCTTCGAAGCCAAAGCATCATTTCTTGAAAAGACTATTCTTTCTCCTACTGAATTGTCTAGGTTACCTTGACAAAAATCAATTGACTATAAATAGGAGGGTTAGTACCTGGACTTTCAATTCTATTCCACTGACCTGTATGGCTATCCTTATGCCAGTACCACACTGTTTTGATTACTGTTGCTTTGTCATAAGTTTTTATATCAAGAAGTGTAAGGCCTCCAACTTTGCTCCTCTTTTTCAAGATTGTTTTGGCTATTTTGAGTTTTTTGCATTTCATTATGAATTTTAGAAACAGCTTGTCAATTTCTACAAAGAGGTCAGCTAGGATTCTGATTGATATTTTATTGAGTTTTTAGGTCAATTTGTGGGGTATTTCCATCCTGACAATATTAACTCTTCTAATCTCTGAATGTCTTTCTATTTTTTAAATCTTTTAAACTTACTTTCAACTATAGTTTGTAGTTTTCAGAGTATAAGTTTCATACTTCTTTTGTTAAATGTATGCCTAAGAATTTTATTCTTTTTGATGCTATTGTACTGTTTTGTTAATTTCATTTTTTGAGTTGTTCATTACAAGTGTACATAAATAAAATTCATATCTGTATAGTTATGTTGTATCCTACAATATTGCTGAACTCACTTATTAGTATGGATTCCTTAAGACTTCCCATATATTATATATATCTATATCTATAGATATATATCTGCAAATAGAGAGTCATATAAATAATATATGGAAAATTATATATATATATTATAAATATATATATATATATTTATAATATATATATGCAAATAGAGATACTTCTTCCCTTCAAACCTGGATGTCTTTTATTTCTTTTTCTTGCCTGATTGCCCTGGCTAGAACCTCCAGTACAATGCTGAATAGAAGAAATGAAAGAAGACATCCTTGTCTTGGTCTAGATTTTAGGGGGAAAGGATCCAGTCTTTTATCATCAAGTATGATAATAGCTGTGGGTTTTTCACAGATGTCATTTATCAAGTTGAGGAAGTTCCCTTCTATTCCTAGTTTATTGAGTATTTTCATTATGAAAGAGTACTAGATTTTGTCAAGTGCTTTTTTTTCATTTATTGAGATGATCACATGGTTTTTGTTTTTTATTCTATTGATATGGTGTTTTACATTAATTAATTTTCAGATGTTATGCCAACCTTGTACTCCTGCAAATCCCACTTGGTCATGATGTATAATTTTTTTTTACATATTGCTGGATTTGGTTTGCTAGTATTTTTGTTGAGTTTTGTATTCATATTCTTCAGAGATTCTTCAGTCTGTAGTTTTTTTCATGTGACGCACACATATTTTCTTGAATGCTACTTTGAATTCTTTGCCAAAAGAGACCAGACACAACAAATTTCACTAAAATACCACTTCTACTATGTCATCCCATCCACACAAGTCTTAAAAACTGGTAACCTACTGCCCATAATAAAATACACACTTCTGTTATATCTTCCATTATTTCTCTACCCAGTTCCCTTACTCTAAAAACAAAGATTTTTTTCACTCTCCCACCAAAAAATCCTAATGCTTACAAACCTCCACACTTTTGTTCAGACTATGAGAGATCTTCAAATCTAACATAAATCATTTTTTAGTTATATGTGTATGATGACTTCAGCAAGGTCACTTATACTCTCTAAGCCCAAAAATCCTCATCTGTAAAATAGGGATAATGCCCGTATCTACCTCGTAGTGTTAGGGTAACATGCTTGACGACATGTGAGTTAACTTACATGAAAATCCTGGCCACACTGCCTGGCATCAAGTGGCACTCAATGAACACCTTCTTCTTCCCTACCTTCCTAATAAGCAGAATGTAGAGCCTTCTATATAAATCATAACAAATATAAAAGCAACATCTTTTCATAGATAAAGTTTCTTCACCTGAGTTTTTATAAAAGACTTACTCTAAGAACATATGTGATTAAAGAAATACGGAAACGAAAAGCAAAGAAAGTATATCTTGAGAAGCACCTAACAAGCAGCTTTGTTTCATGCTGACATACTTTGTGGTTATAACATAGGTTTTTAACGAACACTGGATCAGAATTAAAATTCTAGGCCTGCATTCAACTTTTATGATTGTGTCCACTCTTCACTGAGCATGGAAATGAATTCTTTACAAGTTATTTATTGAAAATATTGCCATAGTACTCTTAAAAAGTTCACTTCCAAAAGAGGCTCTATCCTTGTAATGTATCTGAGTAAATGAAAGCTTTACCAAGTTTCTCCCATCTTACTTTAGAAATTTCATCAGGGTAATAAAATCATGTTTTTAATAGAGGCTTTTCTGAGGTTAGTCCACAGCAATTTTGCAAAGGTGCATGATGAATAAAAGGAAAAGAGACCAAAAAAATTTCAAAAATAAAGACCATCATTCCAAAATCATTTATAACTATATTTTAAATAAAGTGAAATACAGAATAATTAACAGAATTTAGTTTAATTATAGTTTTCCTATTATGAATGCGAAGTTGGCACAAATGCAGTAAGCCTAATCAAAATCAGGTAACAGTTACCTCTGTGGCCTTGTTTGATGGTTCCAGTCCAGTCATATTTGCTACTACTAACTGATGTAAGAGCTGAACTTGAGCCACACTTAGGAAGAAGTCCAGGTTTGTGGTTATATTCACCTCCAAGGAATGGCCACTTACTAAAATCTCCTGAAGAAAAAAAGGTTGAATACAGATAAAGAAAAATGACAGCCTTCACATGATAATCTACCATTCTTCCTTATTTGACAGTTACTACTTTAATAATGCCCCTGGTATTCAAATTTACACATTAATGAGAATAGCAAAAATGGTGAATACAATCACTTGACATAGTATAATGGATTAATTTAATAAATATTTATGAGGGTCTGCTATGTGCTAGGCCTTGTGCGAGATACAGGGCAACTGGCCAATGATAAGAATTTTTCACATTTTCATATCTATTTGACTTTTCGTACTTCAAACTACTATCATTGTTTCAATATATAAGCAATGATGTAATTCTGTAGCATAATTTTATTCACTAATTCAAACCAACAAATACTTACTAAGCATCTGCTAAGTACCAGGCACAACAGTCAAGTACTAGGAATATCACAAAGAATAAGGTGGACCTGGAAAAACAATGTGCTCTTGAAGAGGTTATAATCTAGTGAAGCAGACAAATATAAACAGGCAACTGTAGGCAGTTAATTATAATTGCAAGTGCTACAGTATGAGTATTCTCCAAAGAATACACTCCAAATGATTTATAACAAAATAGAGCGCTGAAGCCAAAGACAGCCAGACTAATTAATTTCACTTTTTAAAACTGTTAAAATCTTGGCAGCATTAGGTAGATGTCCAGTACTTAACTGGTGCTATTCTGCGTAACTGAGTCACTTGAATATTTATTCTTGGAAAACCATTCAGACAAGGAAAAAAAGAAAAACAATCCAGAAGCTTCACTTAATAAGCAGAAGTCCTGTCTCTTGTCATAAAGTGCATGGGACAATGTTTGAGTGCTTGGAAATATCCAGCAGATTTTCTCCTTATTAGTGTCATCCAAAGGAATGGTTTTAAGGAGACAATGTCTGGCCCAAATACAAATTAGACAGGTTAGAGCACCTTTTAATAAAGCCATAAATAACAGTATGTTTGAAATGATTGTTCTTTTTTTGGTTAAATAACCTTTTCCTCCTCCTCCTCGTCCTCCTCGTCCTCAAGTTCCCTATATTCACTTATTATAGTTAGAATTCTTATTTTATTCCTCAAGTAATGATGAAAAAGAAAAAGAGTACACTAATGCAGAAGGTTTTTGTTTGTTTTTTTTTAATAAATTGTCACTGTAACATTTTCCAAGGAGATAAAAATTTGTATTAAAAATATCTTAGTTCTATTAGTGGCATATGTCCCATAAAAACAACAAATGATTGATCCTGTACTTGTGGGTTAAATAGTATAAACACAATTTATATTTGAGCCAAACATATATAGGATATAGAAGCAATTCTAAAAGGTAATTTCAATGTGTGAGTCTTAATTCATATTTTCATAGCATCATTAATATGAAAAAAAAGGTGCCTCATAAGGAGTTCCATGTATTCTAAGCCATGTTACTAAGTAACTGTAAGATATTAGTAGGCTTACTCAATCTTTATACACTTTTTGTGGATATACAAGAAAACTGGCCTAATCTCACTTTCCCCAGAAGGCTATTATAAACGCCAAATGAGATAATATATACAAAAATATTAAACTCACTACATAAGGTAATCTACCTGTATTACTGTTATTTTTATTAGAAAGAGGTTACAGAAGTTAGGAGTGTACAGGCTGGAGCCAGACCAGTTGGGTTCAGACTCTACTCTGCCAACTTACTACAATATCTGCAAAAATTTGGGCAAATTGCTTAGCCCGTTTATGCCTCAGTTTCCTCATCTATAATATGGGAATAATAGGAGTAGCTAATAGGATTATTATGAGGATTAAATAAGTTATTACATGGAAAGCAATAACTGAACAGTACTAGAAAGTGCTCAAAAAATAAATTAGCTATTATAGGAACTGTTGTTATTCATGAGTGAATTTGATGTCCCGTGGGGTGGAACTGTGGAAACTGCTAACATACGAAGAGGAGTTGCTCCATTATTTGCACTAAAATGAAATCTAAATTATATCCTAACCTCGGCATGCAAATTTTCTGGAGAAATTATTTTGGTGAAAATGATGGCTGGTGCTCCAGTTATTCGTACGGAAAAATCTGTCAAAATAGGGGTCAAAATTGCTCTCCTTTCTTGATGCCGCCGTATGCTAGAAGACAAAAGTTAAAAATTATTAGTCATTTCATTTTTTTCAAGGATAATTTTCATTAAATTTGTACAAGTCCTTGTACTACAAATATGTACAACAAAATTACATTATTATTTCGAGAGTGCCTATTTGTACATTTTATAGTCATAGGTTCTTAACTTCAGTTCCATAACATTGATAAAAGATAGCAAAAAAAAAAAGTCATCGAGAAATTCAGGTGTAATTAAGCAATTTCATATTAGTATCGCCCTAAGAACTTTCAACAAATTACTTTTTCTGATTTTAATTCTTTTTTTGCTCTTGCAAGTAGTTTCATATCTCTTTTGTTACCAATAATAATCTTACCATTTTGGAAATAATTTTTAATTTCTTATTTTTAATATTTCTGACCTTCTATTTGACAACTGCCATCTTTCCAATATCATTAGGTTCACAAGCATAACTTCTTAATCTTTAAGCCCTTTTTTTTAAGTTCTACGAACCATCTGAGCTCATGAATTATTACTGCCTTCACAGTCTATTCAATGGCTTTTGTATCTGATAATGAATGCTTCCTCAAAACAACCCTGTATGTGAAATAAAGACCATTACTAGTCCCATATTACCTATGAGGAAATGAAGTTCAGGTACTAGACTAAGGCCACCCAGTGTGAACAAAGTTTCCCTTATTACACCTGCAAGGGCATACTGACACCAGAACAGCTTTCGGCCTTATTTTAATTCTTTACACATTCTCACTTTTGATGAGTTACAGTAACTTGACATTCAAAATTGCTAATAATTTCAAAGGAAGTACTGCATACATGGTAGAATATAAAACTAGAAAACATTACTGAGAAACCAAAGCTTGAGCTGGTACATATCTTCAAGTCTACTATTTATATTCTTAGTTTTCATTTTATGAAATAATATAGTTTTATATTAGCAAGCCATAATTCCCCTCAAGCCATTAATTTAATATTCTTTTTAAATATGTCCTCATTATTCCCTCACATTATAAAATGATAAAGTTGAAATCAGAGAATTGGCATAAGTTATCTCACGAAAAAGCCTAGCTAAAGTAAAGTCTTTCTATATCTTTTCTTTTATCAGAGTAGTCTAGAGAGTACTAATATCTTTTGTTAAACTTGCAATTGGCAGAGCTTTATATGGTGTCTGCCAAAAAAGTAAATGAATCATCTGGTTCTGTGACACTTGAGTACTGGATTTCAAGAAAGTCAATTTTAAAGAATTAAGAGATCTGGTAAGTAGAGAGTAACAGGAAAAAGTATTAAAATCTGTGAATATAGAGGAAAGGTTGAGATCCTGAGAGACACCATAATTACAGCCTAATAGCTCAAATTCCATACGATGACGAAAGTGAGTAACATGTGACATCTGATGTGCTCTCAAAATATATGATGTATTAAAAATACCTTAAAATGGAAAATATGGCAGGGAACCAAATAAGAGCAAACACATTAACTAAAGTACTGATGGAAATAAAAAGTACTTGTTCATATTATACCTTTTTCCCCATTATGTGATGAATTAAATCAGTGACACAAAATATGAAAGACCTATGACTTTAGAAGTAAAAAGAAAATTTAGTCAATAGTCCTGTAAAACTATATTTTTCTGGTATACAGTAGTAACTTTTGTTATATATTTCTGGTAAATATTTGAGGTAATGGGAAACATTTTTAAAAAATCATCAAAAATTTTCTGTAGATTCAAATATTTTTGAGGATAAATTCAAAAGAAGGAAAAAAAAAAAGAAACACTGAAGGAATAACTACAACCAAAAATTATATTCTACCAATATTTTACTAGATAATAGTCTATGGCTCAAAATTAAAGAGAAGGAACTAAAATCCAAAGTATTAACTGAGGTTGTTAATGACCTCAGAGTCTTAGCACTCTCAGTAAATCAAGGGAATTGATTTTTAATGGCTATACTGAGACAAGGCAAGGGTTTTGAAATAAGTTACCTACCCTATGGGGCCCTTGAAGGGTCAGGCCATCAAAAACAGGTAAGAATATGGGCAAACTTCCTTATTCAAGACAGCTTGTTGAAAAAAACAGAGGTCTCTCTGACAAATTAAAAATAATGAGAAATCCCCCAGGTGTGTTGGGTGGCTCTAACTTATGTTACCCATATGGTCCAGGAATACCCATTCTTTTATTCATATAAAAGTGGCATTAGACCTTTGATATCCCTAGGGCATCTGTCAGAAACAGATGCAAAACTTCTCCAGAAAAACATGCCCTCAATGACAAAAAGAAAGGATTCTCACAGATTATTCTACATATACCCCCCCAATATATATATTAGCAAGATGAGAATTAGACTCCATCTTCAAATGCATTATCTAGAACTTTTGATAACAGAATTATCACATATGAACAATAAAATAAATTTGTTTAAAATTATTAAGAACATATACGATGAAACAAAAGCATGAGGGAAAAAACAAGACACTATCAGAAAAAGCAAAACGTATTTGAGAACACCAAACAGGATTTCCAGAAATGAAAAATGTAGTTATTAAAATTAAATACATAACAGATGGGATAAATAGTGTTTCAGATATAGTTTAAGAAAGAATTTGTAAACTAGAGTATAGATATTAGAAAATTCCAGAAATGTAATAAAATAAATTTTAAAATGTAAAGTTTAAAGTAAAAGTTAAAAGACACGGAGGGGCAAGTCCAACATATTTAATTAGCATTCCAAAATGAGAGAAAGGAAAGAAATGAACAGAAAAGAAAGGAAAATGGAAAATAATAAAGAGATAATGGCTGAGACTTTTTTCAGAACTTATGAAACATAGAAATGCACAGATTCAGAAAGCACAATGACACCTAGTTCAAATAAATACAATTAAGTCCACAATTAGACATATTTTGGTGAAACAGCTGATCATCCACGATGAAGAAAAAAACATTAAATTCAGCTAGAGAAAACAGATTACCTACAGCATGCTAAGGCACATGGTGTTAGGACAGCTGTGGAAGAACATTTCTGTGATGTACTCTGTAGTATAAACAATGATTTAATATATCTCTACATTGTCCATAGAAACAAAGAAAAGGTAAAATTATCAGTACCTATCATCTAATGTAGAGGATTATGTCCACAGAAACTTATTAAACCTTTACTGAAAATAACAAAACATTGGATGTAATAAAGTTCTAACCAAATAAGAGGACAATAATTGTATGTGTTAACAAAAGCTCTTCTGTTACGCTTTGGGAGGAGGAGATTGTAAATAAGGGAAAGTACCGTTCTCCAGAATTGTTACTAAGAAGGCAGAGGTGTATATGCCACATGAACTCAGTGAAAACACATGTTCAGGAAGGCAGTGGTCATCTTTCTTGAGATCAATATATTTACAATAAGATTCCTCTGCCTGTTGCCATATATTCTGGTGTGCCTTTGTGGGAAATATTATAGAAATTTAAGAACCATACTTCAAAAACTTCATGTTGTGAAAGGCCAAAAGTAGGAAAACTAGTACAAAAGTTTCTAAAATATTCCACCAAAAAAACAAAATAAAAAATGCTAGATGGTCTGTGTGTGCAGAACAATTCTCATGCAACATGAAGATTTTCTAAGTGTGATATTAAAGTTGAACTTTAGATAGAAGGTACTAGAGCAAAAGATACTTTAGACTTGTTGTGGTAATCAACAGAGACTCTTCAGGGGTTATTCCTAAATATGAAAAGTAGTAATATACCCATTTATTACAAACAATCTTCTGTTTGGAAAACTATTTGTTACATAAGCCTATTCCTAGAGATTCCTCCTACTTTTTAGATTAATGAGAGTCATAAAGACAAATAATTTAAATTCTAAAGTAACTTTAAAAATAAAATATTTAGTTATAGATTTAAACACATTTAGGTGTTTTTTCAAGAGGAACACTATCCAATGACTTTCTAATGCAACTATCTAAAGATCCAACTCCCTCTGGCTTATAAGACCATTCACAATGTAACCCTTCTCTCCCTAACACTTTTTTCTCTATTACTTCTCTCCTCCCAGCCAAGCATGATCCTTCAATGTGCTAAGTTTGTTCCTACATGAGGATCTTTGCTATGCCTAGAAACTTCTTGGCAAAAACACTGCAGGGGTACTTGCATGAATAGCTATCTTACAGATATTAGAAAAGGCCTTCCCTGAGCCCCAATCTAAGGAAATTTCTCAGTTACTCTCATCACATTAAACTGTTATATTATTTTCATAGTATTTATCACTCTCTGAAATTTAGAAATATGGACTGAGTGCCCACTGTGGTGCCAGGACCTTTACTTAGTGCTGAGACAACAATGGCAAAATGGATACATAGTGCTGACTCTCATGGAGCTCAGTTTAGCAGGAAAAATAACTACAGAAAATAATCGTAAGTAAGATAAACATAATAAGGAAAGTATAGAGAGGTGGGAAAATACTCAGTTGGGGACCTAATCTTTTATCTCAAGGTTCTGAATTTACACAAGGAATTAATTTGTAAAGACACATAAAACATTTTGTTAACAATCTAAAAAGAACTACAGTTCGAAATGAGAATAATTCTTAAAAAAAATTTTAAAGGGCCGACCCCGTGGCTCATTCGGGAGAGTGTGGTGCTGGGAGCACAGTGCTGAGGCCGCGGGTTTAGATCCTATATAGGGATGGCCGGTGCGCTCACTGGCTGGGCGTGGTGCAGGCGACACCAAGCCAAGGGTTACGATACCCTTACGGGTCACAAAAAATAAAAATAAAAATAAAATGTCAGTACAAATTTAGTTTGGCAAAATTCAATTACATTAAAATAAAATGTTCTCATTCTTTACCAAAAACAACAAAATCCAAAACAAAAAACTTCCCACCAAAGCAAACACACGCACACACACACAGAACTCCAAAACTATGGTTAATATATTTGTGATGGACGTCACAAGTGCTACATTTATTACCACCTCTAAAATAGTTTTATGAGCATACCTATACTGAAATATTAACTGAATTCAATTTT